AGACTTCTTATGTTGAAAGGATCGATGGAGTTTAAATATGTATTTTTTCCTTTTTTGGATTAACATACTGTGTTTATGTTTAAACCATATTAATTTTATTACAGAACATTAAATAATGATACAGATATTTCTAAAATTATGTGTAGCCAGTGAAGATCATTCTATGTGCAGTTTTCCTGTCGTAATTGTAGTAACCAGTATTTCTATAATTAAACACCACACCTCGCAAATACAATCCTAGAAAATCCATAAAAATTCATCACTTGAGTTGCCTGTCATATCCTTCACTCACGCTCTTGTCTAGAAGTACCAGCAACATATGTACGTGCTCTTGGTGGTACTTAGGTTCTTGTAATTAGCCCGACTGCCGTTGTTATATATCCCCAATATTTTGTGGCTGTGTTTATTTTAGAGAATACGAGAAGCATGGATTCACAGCAACATTAGTCTTAAGGTACGAAGCTGTTCTTTCAGAAGAAATTTGTTTCTTAATGGGAATAACTTTCCTAAGCTTAGCCGCTGCTTATTATCAAAGTGCATAAATATACATTGATCCGCTTAATTTAAATTAGAAAAAATAGAAAGCAGAAAGTTTGTGAATTCAGCAGACTGTACTTTTCAGCAATGTCAAATAACAGACGTAATTCTGTGCAGCTCTTGAATAGCAGCAGAAAAGAAGAGCCGTAACGTGCCAAAGAACTACGATGTGCCAACCACCGAGAGTGCTGACGACAAAGATGGAGAAAACAGAAGTATAAAGAAATTGTGGTTTGTTTCTGTGCACACCACGTTAGCGATGATTTGGGAAGTAGTGTCCCTGTTTTCTTGCCCCGTCAAGCCTGTGTACGCTGCACAGCGCCATGTCTCCTCCAGTGAATTGCAGGTGACGAAACAGCATCTTTGCTTTGAGTGAGGTGGGAATGCTATAGAAATAGCAAACGGAAATTTTCGTCAGATCAGACTTCAGGAGAGCACTAGATAGCCTTAAGAGAATCCATGAATAAAAATACTAAGAAAAATTTCTATGATTTATTGAATGTTTTCTCTGTATCCAGTTACTCCTCACTTCCTTAAAGGATTGGTGGAATGTAACATTTCTAACAATAAAAGCTTAATGGAATCAGATTTGTGATTTCCTAGAAAATTAACGAGATATTTTGTCAATTTTATTCCAGACTTCATTTGTCAGAATATACAGTGTCCAGTGACAAGCTAAAAGAATTTTTTGACAAATTAACTATGCCACAGGTGACAGATCAGGAAAATGTTAATTTAACAGCCCCTTTATGCTTCCCAGATTTATTGGAGGCTATTAAGGAAACTCCAAATGGTAGGGCCCCTGGCCCTGAATAGATTTTCCATTGAATTTTATACAGGATCTATTAATAAAGTTTGATGCTGCCTTTTTGAATATAGGTAATTGTACTTTATCTTCTGGGTCCCCTCAGCATTTACAGTTGGAATACAATTTTTTAGTTGGGAGAAGAAAGTAATTATGTTTCCAGTGGTGTCTGTAATCTGGTTCTGAATGATTCCTCCTAAAGAAGAGACCACAGGCGCCATAGGAAGCCCACAGGTTATTACGAGTCAAATCCAGTGTGGCTAGGCCTTTGCCTCTTGGCCACCGAGACTAATAATTGGATCCCTTTTATTCAGTCCCACCACCTACAAATCCTTACCTAATAAGCTTTGCACAGGTAAGTAATTGAGCTCTGTGGGACTTCCCACACAATTAATATTTTGCAGGATCAGACTAAGAATATGGATTCATTCCATCCCATAGACAGGTACCTGATGTTTTGGATTTCTAGTGCTGGTTTGGAACAAGTATCATCGATTTGCAATAAGCACAGCGGTGGTTTCCTCCAGACCCCTTTGGCTTGGTGGCTGATGGGTCTGAGCCTTGGCCCACGTGTTCGTAGGCGGTACTGATGTTTCCTACCTGATGGGACGATGAATGTCCTCATTACTAACAGACAGTCTAATCAGCTTCCAAATCTCAGGTTTCAGCCTCTCTAATATCTTATGGCAATCAGTTTTACAGCACTTTTAATTAATAAAAATATTTCACTCACTTTTTTAAAGATCCTGAGTATCATAGTGATGCTTTTGAGCCGTTTCCCGGTACTGCTGCTGTTGGTATTGCTCCCCTTGCTCCAAGAGCAGCTGGAATCCTAATACGTGTGTGAATTACCCCGGTTTAAGTCACCCGTCTTCTTGATGTTCGTGCTGAGTGTTTGTGAGTAAGAGAACACGGGTATCGGGAATGGAGGGCGTTCGGACAAGCAAGGTGGTAACGACTGGAGGAGGTAGAGGAGATTTAGAGATGGGGAAGAACCGAGAAAAGTTCATTTAAAAAACAACAAACACAAAGCAACAGCACGTTGGGCGTGGGGCAAAGAAAGAGAAGCACGGTGAAAGACAGACCACGGGAAGTTACCATCTTATCTGTGGTAGCTGTAAGATCGGGGTCCCCAGGATGTGTGCATTTTATAGATACATGTGTTTATTGGATTATGAGCTTATAAAACAGTCTGTACTTGCAGTAGTGGCTAATGGACTAATCTAGTCTTTTTGGTTATTAGTTACAGTTCTCGGCTCATTTGTCTGTTCTCTGGTTTTATGCTGTGTACATCAGTTGTAACCTTGGCATCGACTCTCACATCTGGTTGTCAATTTTTCTTGGATTTTCCATTATCAGGACTAAGCATTACTTACGATTCTGCCATCCTTGGGTTTAAATACGTAACTAACTTAGCATGCCAAGGAGTCACATTAATTTCCTTGATAACTGCTATTTGCTCATTCAGATGCAAATGTAGTTGAAACAACAGGTCTCCCGTTCTGGCCGGTATCTCCAGTTGTGACCGTAAGGTGAGCGATGCTCACAGCCTCGGGCGTGTTCGTGCATTCCCCTGGTTGGTGCCTGCACCGGGGCAAAGCCAGGGATAGACTTTGAGACCGGCGATTCATTACCTGATACCAGCTTAACTCCCCTTAAAAATAAGTCCTGTAAGTAGGAAGGCAAGAGGAGAAAGAAAGAAGGAACGGAAACAAAACCCCCTTATTTTTTTAGCAGTTGTAGTTCTGTTGTGCTAATGATTTCCTTGGAGAGGTAGGGCATGGGCACGGGTGGTATCTCGGAGTCGCAGGCCCACCAGCTCATCCAAAGGCTTGTTAAGGCTTACCCAGACGAGGTGAAGGAATGTCCCATATTCTGTTACCAATCTAACATTTCCTTTTAAATGAGTAAAAACAATTTCTTCTTACCTGAAAAACATGGGAAGAGGAGGTATCTGCACTATAAAAATGCTTTCTTAAAAAACAAATTCGTTACATTTGGATGTATTTTAATAATACTTTTAGCTATGCTGGTATGAATAACTTTAATCTTTAAATTCCTATTGTTTCTCTAATTTATAATCACACTGAAGGATCAAATGGTTTTTAGCAATATATTGAAATTAGCACATGACATTTAACTCCTTGTTTTATACTCTCGTCATAGATTTATAGTATTGAATCCTTTTATTCTGTTACTTAGAATTCCAAGTGATTAATTCCAATAATACTTTCTTCTCTCAGGGCCCATATATGTATAGAGACGGATAGAGATATATAGTTACATCAGGGCTGCTTTTGAGGAGGGGAGCAGGATGTGCAAGCTTTTGTCTGTTTAAAAGATTACTGGTTTAAAAATGCAGTCCTATCTGCAGTAGACTGAACTTTTTTTCTTGTAATGCAAACTTTATAGATCTTTATGTTGCTCTGTATCTTATGTTTTATTTAATCATTAATCTCCACAGTGCCAAGCAGATTTTTTTAGTAGAGTAGGTTCCAATAAAAACCAATATTAGTTAATCCTTCTTGATTGTCTTCAAATAGCTCCGAATAGTTTAATGACTCAGTTGTGTGTGTGATTTTGTTCTTCTCTTGGCAAACCAAGGTCAAGCCTAAGGTTTATTTTTAAACGTCATCTTAACCTCGACGTATGATCGACATTCATTTTTGCCACAGCTCTCTGCTGGGGCTGGGTTACCTGGTGTGACTTCCCGGGGATGAGCAGTCTGCGCTGCTGGCTGGGACCTAAGCTCGGAGCTTGGAGGCTGTTTCTGAATTGTTGGCATCTGTAAGATTCGAGTTTCGGTCTCGCCGATTTGTGTGTGCAGGCCGCTGCCAGCTGTGGTGGGCTCTTCCTTTTTGTCCGTTCGTGGGAATGTGCTGGCCAGGCTCCAGTCTCCCCGTCTACGTATGCCGGGAGTTTCCCTGCGTTTTATCCCATTGTGCACCCAGGTGTGAGCTCCTTTGACTCCTTTTGGTGTGGCAGCCGGAGAGGGAAGGCGACGGGGAAAGGAGGAGAGGAGTCCCAGACCGAAGCTGGAGGGGAACTAGAGTGCTGAAAAGCAAGGAGCGCTGGCGATGCGGGCGGACTCCAGACCTGGAGTAGCTAGCGATGAGGCAGGCTGCTTTGGCAGCGCCGGCGCCTCGCCTGTGCCGGGGCGCCAGGGAGGGGGTGCGAGCTGGAGGAATGGGGCACGGTAAGCTGGCAGCTCTGCTCGTGAGGGAAGCGAGCGTTCCACGTCGCGGGAAAGAACGACAGAGAAAAGCAGAAATGTAGAAACGAGGGTAACGCTAGTATTAAATGCTGATGGAAAAATGGTTTTGAAGTTTTAGGGAGGCTTGCAGTTCTCTCTTCCCCCCCATCCCCACCCTTTTCATACTTCTTTTTTTTCTTGATCCTGCAAGAACGTGGGATCTTGCAGTGAAGTTCAGACTTTTTATGGAAATCTGTGAAATCATTGCTAAATATTTTGGATCATTTTTACAGATACGTTAAACAGCAGTAAAAGAATTGGAATTTAAACGTTGGAGCTTCTTCCAGTTTTAAGTTGTAGCAGTGTATTTTAATCTTTCTACTGAAAAGAATTCCATCCGTACCAGATTTTGTATTAGCTCTGTCATACTTTTATACATTCTAATGAAATATATTTTCTCGACAGGGTCATGTTGGTACAACGGCAACCAAAAAAATTGATGTCTACCTCCCACTGCACACAAGCCAAGACAAACTGCAGCCCATGACAGTTGTGACGATAGCAAATGCCAAGGTGCATGACCTGATTGGACTAATATGCTGGCAATATACAAGTGAGGGACGGGAACCCAAACTGAAGTAATGTTCTTTCTTTACTACCTCTTGATCTCTAATTTTCTCCTCTGCAGCCTTTTTGCATAATGAAATGAATTTCCGTGTCAATGTTTTTGTAGATAAATCTTAGAAAAACCACCTGCACATTTGTCAGTATTTCCTTTTGAGCAGTACATGTGCATCTATATCCATTTCTCTTTCAATTAAACTACCGGCTACTGTATAATGATAAGCATGTGAAACCATGGATCTGTAAATGAATCATAATTTTAAAACGCTCTATGTAAAAATAATAGAAATCTTATCTGTTTTGGTGTCATGGAGACATTTTTTATTTTATGTCCCATCTATTTTTTGGTAGGGTTCTTAATGGCTAAGATGACAAGGATGTCAAATAAAATGCAGAACTCGTCTGTAACTCCCTCTCCGGTTTGTTCTGAGGGAAGGTACCCCGGCTCTGACTCGTTTTGTCTGCAAGGTACCAGTTCCTCCTGCAGATTCATGGAGAGCGGAATCGCTGTACGCGTGACGGTGTGTCTTGGAAGTAGTTAGTGTTCCCCTGAAACCATGGAGTAGATGTTAGCCGTAGTGAGTACGCCTGAAAACAAGTCAGAATTCTGTCATAGAGCTTCAGCATTATCACTCGCTTTCTGCTGTCATTTTGCTGACATAATGACTTTAATTCATTATATACATGTTAAAATATTTCTGGTTTTCTGAGAATTGACAGGTATAGGAGCTAAAGGTGCTTTTCTTTCCAGGTTATCATCCTGGAGATAGCACTAAGATAAAGATATGCAAATAAGGATCCTGAAAACAAATTAAATACCAGTTTTCTTCAAAATTGTGAATGAAATTGCATGCTTTAATTCAAAAACCTCTGTCATGCAGTATTCTATAATTTCTGCAAGACTTTGACCGCGGTCACATGGGCTCTTTGCTGTAAAGAGCAGCATCTGTGTTGTCCTCAGAAATGTTAGCTTCAGTTAACCAAGGGACTTTTCAGTATCTTTGCTAATCATTGCTTACGTCTTCGTTGTGCAAGAGTCCTGCCTCTAAGATTTCTGTGACTAAATAACGGATTGGGTTTGCTGTGCTGGAGAACTCGTGTTGTTTAGTAAGAGCTGTTGCTTTATCACGGTAGGTGACATAAGGTATATAAAACAGGTACTTCAGAGCCACTCATCGGGGCAACTTTGGTTTTCAAAGAGTTCTGTAAAATACTTCAGTTTTTGCTGGGTCATAGAACATAAAATAAGAACTTAAAATAGTTTATTATGGAGTTGTTAGTAGCAGATACTAGCAGGTGACTTTTCCGGTGCAAAGAAGGTTAGGAGTTTTGTTTGGTTTTTTCTATAGGAGCCAATTTTCACTTTGTTGTTGTTCCTGGGATATTTGATGACTGGGGTTTTTTGGCAATGGATTTTACAGTTCGCTCTTCCAGCATTTTCCAGAAGTGCTCGAGGACTCGGTGGCCGTCCCTCCTGCCGTGGCACAGTTGTAACGGGGGAAGGGAGGCGCTGAGCGCTGCCTGAGCTGCCCTTCTCCGGGGCTGGTTGCTTTCTGCGCAGTAGATGCAGAGCGACCCAGAAAAGCAGCCCCTCCGGAAAACAGTTTCATGGATACTGTTGCCTTGGATATAGGATTTCCCCTAGCTCTCTCAACAAACATATGAGATGTTTCAGAGGTTAAACGCTTCAGTTCAGTTTGTCATTTTTTTACACTGGAGAAGAAATATAAAATTATTTGCAGATGGTGCCATTTCGTTTGCTGTTACTAACTTCTGTTCGTTATATCATAAGTTCAAAAAAGTGTCCTTTGTGTATGATTAGCTTATTTTTTAATGAGTAAGACACCACTAATGTCAGTCTTTGGACACGTGTATGTTTTTCAGGAGCACAGCACACCTCAAACAGAGCACTGCCCCTGAGCAGAGGCAGTCCATGAAACATCATTGCCCACGGCAAAAGTCAGCAGTGGGAGGAAGTGAATTGCACTGTCTGCCTTGAAGGATAAGCTGTTGTGATGTGTCGAAGAGTGATCGTGACCAAGGAGGCTGTCTGATGTAATCAAATCTCAGGACAGAAATAATAAAATAAATAATGGAGGCATGAGTTCCCAAGAACAGTCTTAACAGCACAATTGAGAATCTGGGTACAAATGCTCAGAGGAAGGGGCAGAGCCTCAAGATTACAAGCAGTTTGTTTTCTTGTGTGGTTCTTAATTATTTCTCATGTCTCCGTCATCTTTTTTTAGCATTGCTGACTGCCTGTCCTGTAGCAAGGATCGATTTAACTGTAGACTCATTCTCATCGTTCCCAAATAAGGGAAGAGCTTGTGTAGGTTGCACATTCGACATTTGCTGTTTGCTCCTGATTTAGTCAGTTTAGAGTATAAAAAGAAAAAAATCAGGATCATTGTGACACTGCACTAAAATACATATAGAGAATGCTTCAAATCTGATATACAATGCATGCAGAATGACAAATATACCTACTAGTAACACAATTTGAGAATAATGAGGAGGTTGTAGACTTTGTAATTAAGAGAAACAACCCCTCTGTCTTTAGGAAAAGAATATATTACTGCCTAATTCTTTTTCCTCAAAGGTAGATGTAAGAGTCTGAAACAAATGAGTGCTAGTTGACAGCTTTGAGGCCATTTCGTATTCAGTTAGGCTGCCTTTTTTATTTTAGTTGTATTATATTTGTCTCTGTCCGGTGTCTTGATGTGAGGAACCGCTGACAGTGTTAGCAGCCCTGTTCCTGGCCTCTTGCCTCTGAACTCTGGTCATGACCCACGGGACCCCAGACAGATGGACTGTAATCATTCCGCCTGCAAAAAATAAGCAAAATCCCTTTCTAGGAATAACTGAATAGTGAGCTGCAAAATTCAAATACGCTTCCTATTTTTAGAAGTTAGGAATGCTATTACATCTGTCAGTTGTTGTACTTAACGTCTACGTTCTGTCCCTAGCAAACCTGGATTCTCAGGACTTTGCACCTTGTAATTGGAAGCCTAAGGTTCAGGGCTTTGATCTCATCCGGGTGGAGGTTCAAAATGCAGAACAGTTTTACCGATTGGACTTGCTTTTTCAACAGATTGTGACTTAGTCTGCGTTAATGTTCAGGAACCCACTCCGTGTTTGAAGACATTTGTAACCCCTTTAATTTACGGGATTTAACCGACATTGTGTATTTTCCGTATAATTGGTGGAAGATAAGTTGTTGTCACCACCGCCTTATTTTGGCACTTGGATTGCTTTGAGATGGCACTGAATGTGTTCTGTTGTCTGCACATCTATATGTTTCTCTGGCTTTAATGAGAATTATGCAAATGCATCAAGTACCAAATGAAAACGTTAGCTTTATACAGAGCTTTAAGTGCGCATCAGGCTGCACCTAGAAGAATTCTGTCTAACGACTGGGTTAGAAAATCAGCAGTGTAAGGCACAGGCCAGGGCTGCGGGAAGACGGGAATCGGTGACTGTTCAGACTGGAGAGGCTCATAGCGTGGGGTGGCTTCTGAGTTACGTTGAACTGGGCAGAATGAGCATGCAGAGCTTGGTGTCTGCATTCATAGAAATCTAAATGGAGTAAGAGAAGGACCCGAAAATCATGCCAGGCGTTTCTCACTACGTAAGCAGGATCAGCTGCATCTATGTTATTCCCAGCCTTTTTGTTTAGCTCGTCCCTGCAGAGTGGCACGGAGGCAGAGCAGGCAGCTCCCGCCTGGGTCGGCCTTCTCCGCTCGTCGGAGCCCTGGCGCTGGGTGCAGTCTCTTCCCAGCGCTGCCTTTCACCAGTTTCCCTAAAAGTTACTTAAGTCCTCTTGCAGAAGTTAAAAATTAATTCTACAGCAATGTTCCAGTTCTTCATAACAGTCCAGAGACTCGTGAAAGTTTCTTTAATAGTATTGCAGAATTTTCAAAATTCGTAGTGACAAACGTTGCTGGCTTACCTTTTTGTTAGCAAATATACCACTTACCTTAATAGTAATGCAACATTATTCCCTGTTTTATATAATAAATGTCTTAGTTGTGACAAGGTGCATATAGATCACCTGGACTAAGCACTCCCAATAAAGCACAGTTGCAACCGAAGGTTTGTGAATTAATTGAGAAAATTGCAAATCAGGTAGTCAGTGAAATAATTCATTGTCACATCCAATCAATAAACTTTGTAAATCAACTCATTTAATTCAAAAAATGATCTATATAGATCAAGCGACCAATTAAACAATTAGCATACACTTTGCAATTAATTAATGTAAGCATCAATCATGCAATTAAAACTCCAAATTTAAACTGCAGAGTTTAGAAACACAGTGCCACGTGAACATTCAAGCTATACTTCACGGCTGTGGAAAATGCCTAAATGCTGGCACATTTACAATAAGAAAGAATACTTATTTTCAGCTCAATAATTTAAATACTAGCATTTGAAATAGATTTTAATATTAGGAAACTATGATTAATAGTCTGTTTGGGATATATAGATAGTTATTTCCCTAATGGTTTTGTTTGTGGAAAGAAAGAGACTTAGATTTTTCGCTCGTATTTTCTTCACACTATAGCTGTTCAAAACTTCCTGTGTTATTTAGTTCTGCTTGTTGGTCTGTACTAACTTTTAACTGTTTTTAGTGATTGAACTTCTTAGATATTTAGAAAAGGCAGCTTTTCTACCAGTCGTTGCTACCAGTTGAGCAGATTTTTTGCTCGTCCTGTAGTTCATTACGCTGTTTACCTGCCCGAGAGCCTTCTCGGCTTTTCAAGCATACGCTCAGTAAGCTTACCCACAGTTGCCTAATCTATGAAAGAATAGATAGATGCTGCTTGTTTGTCTTTCGTTCGAAAATGTAATGGTCATATAAATAAATAAATTTTCACAAATGGAGAAATATTGCTTCCAGCTTTATGAAGTCATGAAACTTTTATAGACTTTGTATTTTAATCACTGTCCGTCTTTGGCTTGCAGTTCGGTTAACGATGAAGTAAGGCTCGCCGCTTTACTCTGAGGTTTCGGGGTTTTTCCTGTTACCGCATGGTTATGGTAGCAAGATATGTTGGGACGTTGTTGGGACAGGTTTATATCCATGCCCTCAGTGGCTTTTAAGTATCTTACTCCTGTAATGGGCATGTCTGCTGGTTTGTTTTCTACAGCATTTAGCAACTGGTATTGATCGGCTGAACTGAGTCGGTTGTCTAGCTTCCCTCCTGAAGGAACTTGTTTTGTCTTTGTTTCAGCGACAACGTCAATGCCTACTGTCTCCATATTGCGGAGGATGACGGTGAGGTCGACACAGATTTTCCACCCTTGGATTCCAATGAGCCAATTCACAAGTTTGGCTTCAGCACCCTGGCGCTGGTTGAAAAGTACTCCTCTCCCGGCCTGGCAGCAAAACAGTCGCTCTTTGTTCGCATGTGAGTATGGATGCTAACTTTTCAGTCACTGGGAAACATCTGTGTGTCTGTGCCACCGCCGCGTCTTTTTTCTTCTCTACTTTTCTTCCTCTGAACGTAGCGAAATTCAGGGGGCACGCGTATTTGCGGTTCTCTGCAGACGATGCCCTGCCCTGGGGTCTGTCACGAGGCAGGCAGGGAAGTGAATGCTGCTGCCAGCAACTCGGCTGAGCCCATCACTGGGGGTCTAAAACTACAGAGAAGAAAATAAGTCCTTCTGCATATGATTAGTGTGGAGGACATTGAACTGTTGCACTGCTGCTAGTAAATATTTGGAATGTACACAAAGTCTGAGCTCATAATCTTAATTTTGCTCCAGCCATGCTGCTTATTTATGAAGAATATGTTCTGAATAATAAATGAAATAAGGTATATAATAGCTTCAGAGAGTTAAAATTATGAAGTCATTCATGTTGGATGCCCAGAGCCCTTTTCAATAGGTATTAAGAACTGATCTTGCTAGTGACTTTTTAATTACTTTGGGAAAGTGTATTGAATTCTAGCAGGAAAAAAAGAAGCGTACTCATGGTGTTTGGGTGTCCCACATATGAGAGACTTCAAAATCTTCTTTCAAAGCCTGATAGACAAAGTAGCAAATTGGCATTTTGAGACTGGTTAGTAGACTGAAAAGCAACTAACTCTAAATACAAACAGTTGCAGAGTGCATTAATAACAATGCAGCGATTGAGGAGAGAAATGAGCAGTAAATGAGCACGTGGTTAGGATAGGACTGGATAAACCACTCTGAAGTCCAGGGGAATTTTGAAGAGGAAGACCCCATCCACTGCTGAAACTTGAAGCTGTCTGGTTTGTAGGTCAAGAAGAATTTGCCGTATCATTATCAGAGAATTAGGGTTTGAGTGATATACACAGTGCTTGATCACTTTTTCTTTGCTTGTGAGTGAAAAATCTTTTAAACCATCAGAAAGCCTTAATTACTATAACAAAATACTAGTAGCATAAGCCACTTCTTACCCAGGAAAAGTATTTCATGTTTGGATCTCTTGAAGTGAAAATGCCAAGAGGGTTTTCCTGGCTATTGGACATTTTTTTAGTTTATAAAGGATTACTTACATTTCATTACCATACAGCTGCTTCAGGTTTTGAATAATCAGACATTTAAAAAAAAATCTGAGCTATTTAATTACATTTTTGTATTCTTTATTGCAGACTGTGTTCCTTAGAGATGTTCTAAAGGGCACTACTGCAAGAAATTTTCAGAAATCCCATGTGTATTTCCCAAAGGCGCATTCACTTCATTCCACTGTATTAGGTCATTGGAAAATAAAATATTCTGTCAACAGTATTTACAAATAAGTTATTCAAGGTAAACATCTTGAGCTGTGCTGAACTGGATGCAGCCGCGTGGCAGCTGACGGGAGGAGGAAATGAAGCAGTCTTGCCAGCCCTGTTACAAGGCCCGGTTTTGGTTTGTGCAGGTCGCAGTCACGCGGTTGAGCCAGGCAACTGACTTTTCCAGCTGTGGAACTGCAGAATATTTAGTTCCTTCCACCTGACTGAAGAACGCTGCATTTTCAGATAAATCCGAAAGAGGGAATCTCTCTTTCACCTGCACACGTTTCTCTAGAGTCAATGCTATTGCCATGAATTTGATTTTTTTAATTTTATGATTCCATGATTGTTTTATCTTCAAGATAATCCTGCATTATCAGTATCCCCAGAAAAATTCCAGCAGGTATATAGAAAATTCTATTCTAATTCCATGCAATCAAAAAGGATCATGAGCATTTATTGCAGGTAGACCAGTTAAGAAGCTTGTATCATTAGAGGATTCTAAACTGTTGATGATTTCTCATCTGGAAAAAGTCCCCTTCTTTCTCAGCTGCCTCCTACCTAAATCCCCATCGCCTGTACTCAGTACATAAATAGGGATTAGTATTTAAATGCAATGACCACGTGAGGTCTCAGATTTTGGACGTTAGCTCGGAGGGGGTGGAACTGGTGTTCCCGTGTGGAGCCCAGAGACCTCAGCGGGATCCTGGCCCGGCCAGCAGTTCTCTGGCTGGTGCTTGTGGCGGGATTGAGGTCCAGCTGCAGATCCTGCAAAAGAAACCTGAAATCTTTTGCTTTAACATAATTTGCACTCATGGGAGGACCTTCCTTCTAACCTGGGAGGTCCTGCTGGTGAGAAATAGGACAACTGCGTCATAAGAAGTAGTGCTTTTCTGAGAGGGTTTTTTTCCTGTGTCCACACGTTAACTTGAAATTGCTTGTACTTCCTGGGTAAATAGTTATTTGTAAATAGTTAGATTTAACTTAGAATTTTTAATGTATCCCCTAGAATAGAGAATTACTTGATCATCACTTGATCAAAAGATTGTTACTACTGTAAGTTTAAATACGCACGCTGTCTTATTTTTGTAGGGATTTGTTGTAAATTCTGCATCTTCTTCCTCCCCTGTCATCCTACTAGTGCGTGTAATTGTGTTTTTATATTTCGTATCTCTTTTTTTTTTTTTCCTCCTCATGCTGAAGTATTTCAGCTGCTGCTGTGTCAGGCTTGTGACTTGTAATGTTTATTAATACTGAATCACTGTTGAAAAAAGTTGATGCTTCTGAGAAGCTTCATGGTGAAGCATGGTGTTTTATTTCAGATCTCGCCCGTCCTGCATATTGGATATGTTTTCAGATGTTGTGCAGTTACCGAGCTGACAGTTATGGAACCTCGCCGGGGAGCCCGTTTAG